TGAAATTCTTTTTAAAATCTCAGCCTTGTATCTATCATACTTTAGTTTTTACTTCCTTTTTTGTTTGTTTGTTTGTTTGTTTTTTGTCTTTTTGAGACAGGGTCTCTCTATGTAGTTCAGGCTGGCCTTGAGTTCACTTTGTGGCCCAGGCTGGTCTCGAAGTAGCAATGATCTTCCTGCCTCAGCCTCCCGAGTGCTAGGATTACAGGTGTGTGCCACCACGCCCGGTTAGTTTTTCCTTTCTTTAGCATTCAAATTGTGAAAATCAAAGCACAGCAGAATGGTCCAGCAGAGAAGTACCAGACTGGAGCCCTGGCAGAATCTTCTCAGCCACTAACCAGCCACACCATCTTTAATCCCTTACTTTGTTATTCCTTAAATAGGGCAAAAGATTTAGAATGGGAATCCCAACACTTATCCTCTTTTCTACCTCATCATTGATACAGGAAAAAAGTGAGTGCTTTGGAAGATATAAAAACCCTTTGAGAAATGTAACCATTTTATAGTCAAGGGTAAAGGAAATGAATGTAATAGCTCAGGTTTTTAAAAGAGTAATGAAATTTTTATATGTAGAAATGTGTTTCAATGTCATACTCTAATGACTTTAAGAATTATAACGAGGCACTTGACTAATACCAGAAAAAGGTGAAATGGCACAGGTTACGCAGGCTCTTCATTTAGTACTTGTGGCGGCAAGTGTTTGGGTACAAGTTTGGGCCCTTAGGGCAAATTTGACAAATAAATAGTTTTCTTGTCCCTGAAAGTATTTAAAGATTTGGAGATTTGATTCCTCTTTTTTTGTGTGTTGTACTGGGAATCGAACTCAGGACCTCCCACTTGCCAGGCAGGCGCTGCGCCACTGAGCTAAATCCCCAGCACTTGATTCCTCTTTAATCCCCACCATTCTCTACGCTTTGATTCTTCAGGTCAGTACTGTCCAAAGAAATATAACGTGAGCCACACATGTACTTAAAATTTTTCTAGTGGCTACATGAACAAAGACAAATTCGTTTGCATTATGTGTTTCATTTAACTCAACATACCTAAACTATTATTTTAATATGAAAATTATTGATTTCTCAGTTACTGAGATAGAGATTCACTTGTTGAGACTGAGATTTAATTATCGAGATTCAAACTCCAGAGCACCATTGAAGCACCCAGCACATCTCTGTAGCTGCCTTCCGAGTGCTTGGGTCCCCTGGGCTGGCTGCGGTAGTGGACAGCACAGCCGCGGTGCTTCCTTCACGAAGGTCTCTAGTTCGCCTGTCCAACAACGCTTCTGAAATACTGGTGCCTGGACGGCAGCATCAGCTGCTCTCAGGAGTTTGCTAGATATGCAGATGTCAGGCTCCGCCCAGGATGTATTGAATCAGAAGCTGTGGGTGGGGTCCAGCAAGCTATGTTTAATGAGCTCTCTACGCATTATGCGTAAGGATATTTGAAAAAGACTTCAGGGCAGGCGTCTTGATTTGCAAGTGTAGTTTTCATGCTAACAGGGGCTGGGGATGTAGCTCAGCGGCATAGTGCCTGCTTGGCAAATAGGAGGCAAGTCGTGAGTTTTGTTTCTGCTACCGAAAAAATAAATAAATAAATGCTAATAATCGTGATTAGTAGGTACACAGTCAAATCCAGTGCGCAACTAAGGTACTCTGAGCTAAAATGTTTTAATTTGGCCTCACAAAGCCTCAGAAACTGAACTGTAAGAAACTCCTAAGTACTGCTGAGGAAGTGCTCATTAAACTGTGTTTCCTTTACACATTTGGGTCTGGTGTAGCTGGGTATCTCCGGCAGGATCTCAGCTGGTAAAATGCTCTTCATACCTACTCCCAGGTAGCTGAAACTCCTTTGCCTTGGGGCATGAGGGGGGTACCACCTTCAACCCCTCCCCCCAGTTGAATTAAGATCTACTTGGGGAGGGAACATAGTGACTCAGGGGAGAGCCAAAGTTAAAGTAGTGGAGAGAGTAGTGACAGGAATCAAAAGATCTGAATTCAATGATTTGCTTCTCATGGGCTTCTTGCGGGCTGTCTGACTTTTCACTTAATCTGTGATTTCCTTTCTTCCAGTTGGAAAGTGTTAACAGCGATGCTCATGGTGGATGGTGATGAAATAAATGTCTATCCAATCTGGCTAGTGTTGGACATATCAAATAAGATTACATATGTGGAGATCCTAGAGCTTTGGGCTTTTGTTGGTGTTATAAAATTCACACTATGGTGTAAATGACTATTTCCCCTTGCAAACAAATTTGGGTCAGAGAGATCAGGAAACTGTCAGAAGAAAACAAGCTACATACAGTACAAGCCAGGGATGGACTTGCTTGTAGAAGGGGAGCTGAAAAATATTACTTAAGAGCTGCTTGAGCTGAACTGCTTTGATAAGTCTTTGTAAATCCTATATAATTTAAAAATATGAATTACAATGATACTACATCAATGATTGTGATAAAAAATTTCGACCAGCTTATCATTTCTTTTCTGTGTTGGGCTGCTTGGGCTTTCTTGTTAAACAGCCTGTGATAAGAGGCACGGATGTTGGCCCAATGAAAGGTAAACAACACTCTGCCAACTGAAAAATAAGATGAGATACTGGTGAGCGCTGCTTCCTGTGAAAACTTCATTAGCAATAAATGAGTGGCCAGATGTCACATGTCAGATTTGAAATGAAAATATGTTCTCTGGAGTTGTGCGCAGTCTGAGCTGGAGTTTAAAAAGAACTCTACTTTTTTGTTTTTGTGTTTCTTTTGTTGGTACCAGGAATTGAACTCAGGACCTTGTGCTTGCCAGGCAGGCGCTTAAAATGAACTCTTTTCAAGAGAGCTGTGTAAGCTAATGTACCACTTCTGCCTTCTGAGAGTTTGTTCCTCCCCTCAATGTAAAATCAAATGCATCTCTCGGTTCGGTTCGTAGAGTGGCGCTGTATATATAGTGTTTCTGCCTAGAAGGGCCGTTGGTGAAAGGGCACGTTACTCACACGGCAGAAACCGTGGAAGGATACGGGCGATATTTTTGAACATTTTGTGCTACACCGAGACCACCGTCTCCTCTTGTTTTTAACTTTGGCGTAGGAATTTCTCTTTTTCTCACCTTCACTTTTTGCAGTGGATGTTTGCTTTTATCAGCAGCAACAAAACTGCTCAAGTCGGCAACTGTCAACGGCAACGCCCCTCCCTGAACTGTGCTGTAACAACAACCTTGTTAGCACTCGTCTTTCTTCTTAAGATATTAAAATCCTCCTCTTGTCCTCTCAGCTAGCTAAGCTGATTCTGTTCTCGCCCTCAAAATCGCAAGCTTCCAGCCCGAAAGCAATTGTGGTTAGGGATGGAAGCCGGCAGTAAGAAATAGAAAGAGTGCAATTTCCTTTGAGCCAGCAGAAATCTCAAATGATATGCTGGTATGATGGAAAGAGCTAACGCGTTCTAGTTTTTATAAACAAACATTTTTGGGGTGAACTTCTTCAACCCAATTCCTTTGCAGTTTCAAAATCTTTGCAGTTTACTTCATTCCAGCTGAAGATCACGGCTGTTTGAAATCTTTTGTTTATTTTTCCTGCCCAATTAATTTTAGTTCTTATCTCCTGTAAGATAGGAGAAGTCTATAAATAAATTAAGAGAGTGTAAGCGAATTATCTTTCTCAAGTCTCCTTTCAGAGAAATATTTACATAGAATTTCTATGCATAGATTTACATAGAATTTCTAGGAGTCTAGAAATCCTCCAAAATACTTAAAAAGTTTATTTCTTCGTCATTACCTACACGTTAGACACTGGGGGTGTTCTCTGGCCTGTGCATAAAGGAAGTATTTTTGAGTATTTTTGAGATGATTAATGGGAAAAAATGTCAATTTAATCTTTTAGGTATATAACTTAAGCATAAGGGTACACACACTATGTCCAATTAAGCTTATTTAATGTAAAACTTTTATTTTTCTCTGCATTTCTGCAGGTATCTAATTTATAAGAGAAAGACAAAGTGATGGTTTAGTACTAATGGTACCAGTTATCATTTATGATTAAATGAATATGTGCTGTGTGCCAAGTATTGTGTTAATTGCTTTAATTTTTGTAAGAACCCGTTGATGGAAGGTACTGTCATTTCTATTTTTAAGATGAGTAAACAGGCTTAGAGACCAGGTCTTTCCATTTTTAACACCCTATAAGTAATATTTCAAAGCTTGTATTATTAGTATTTTAATTTTTGCGATGTCATCCATTCATGGTCTATTTCACTGCTTCTCAAGCAGGGGTGATTTTTCCCTCTAGGGCCATTTAGCAATATGTAGACACATTTTTCATTTTTAAAACAGGGGAAGGAATAGGAAAGGGATTATTGTAACCTAATACTTAAAGACTGTTTTACCATAAATGATAAAACATTATCTAGCCCAAAATATCAATACACTACTATTGAGAAACCCTGCTCTGGTCCCTACTTTTTTTTAAAAAGAATTTTGATAATTTGTAGCTCTTACCTTATATGGGATAAGTTAATTATATGCTGCATTTTATTGGTAGCTTTGTTTCATGTTATTTTATCTTTCCAGGAAAAAAGATAGATTCTGAGAATTTTCTAGACGGTCGGGAATCTGCACAAATACGCTGGCAGACAGACCGAGTGGATTCATCACAGAAACTTCAAGAACTCTACAGCTGCTGTGGAGGCCCCAAGGCGTCCACTAGAGGGAGGACACCGCTTACTCCGGAAGTCAAACCCTGCCCCCTGGTGGCATCCCCACCCTGGGCACATTCTAGAGGGGCCTGAGACAGCATCCGTCTGCACCCTTGGGGTCTGAACTGATTTTGCAGCGTTTGAATATAAACTCAGCTTTATTCACTTTAGCTTTTTTTCTCTCTGTGGAGTCGCATGTTAAATGTATGTAACATGTCATCAAGGTTCAGAATTAAACCAAGTAGAGAAAAGTGAGAAAGAAAAAGGATACACACATGTAGGAACAAACAATACTTTCTGGAGATTTGGCAACCAGAGTTCAGTTATTTACCTTGATTTTCTGTTATTTGTAACTTCCCTCCAGACACACACTCCCAAAGGCTGCAATATTAATAGTTTCTTGGTTCTTCTGTTATTTTCTCTTCAAATGGCTCATAGTGTAGCTCTAGAAAAAAAGCAGCATGAAGTTTGAAAGACCAGCTAAGTCAGAGGAAATTATATTTCCCTCCTTTTCCCATTAAGATCTCTATTCTCTTACTATGAAAACCCCCCTGAACATCTTATCAGAGAGTGCAGCCTTTTCTGTATACTGATGCCAGATGAGTAACATTTTAGTGAGGCATTTGAAGTCATGATAGGCAACTCGGTAGGAGATAAACAAGGTCATTTACAAGGTCTTTTCATTGAGAACATCAGAGCTTTCAAAAGATGCACACAGTCCGTCCTGGATAATCAGGGTAAACCAGAAATGAAGAAAAAGCCTATAAAGTACAAAAATAAAGAAGCAGTCAGATAGAGACACTCAAAATTAAGAGTGAAAAGATAAGGCAAACGCTGATGTCAACTCTTAATATGTAAAACTAGACACATTAAGTGAAAGAGCAACATAATTTAAGAATTTGAAGCGTGGGATCTCGGTTTACTGTAGGATTAACAGGCTTAAATAGTGCCTGGTTGCTCTCCTATGAGAAGCCCAATATAGAAAGAAAGAGAAAAATAAAATATAGATAATAGGAAGTATGGAGACAGAGCTTTCTCACAGGGGAAGGGAATTGAAAGGTGGAGGGAGCGGGGAGGAGAGGAAGGAAACGGGATAAGAAGGATTAAGATGCGTTATGTCCATGTACCAACTCCCCACGAGGACTGTAATCATTACGCACTGCAAATACACACTAATAAAAATAAAAACAAAAAACAGAAATGCTATTGGATTGTTGAAAATGTATATAAAAAAGATGTGGAACAAACATCAGCTTAGAATCAGTGTTGGGGGTTCTCAGGGGCTCTTTCTTTGCCTTTTAGAAATCAAGACCGCGAACAATTCATTCATTCTTCACTGGACTTTGATCTGACAAGTGGGAATAATACTGACAAGCCTCTATCTCGACCTCAGAAGAATACTGTAAGACGGTATGTTTAGAATAATTTTCCTCATGTGTATATTCAGTATGGATAAACTACATAACAATAAAAACAAGTTTAATAAGTCACTAGAGTAAACTATATATACACAGAGATATGAATTTAGCACTTAGAAGCTTAAAAGGAAGCATTAGCTAATGTTAGTAACTCATCAGCTGTCTGCTTATAAGAAATGATCCTACCACAAGCTTCGTACTCACAAAGGTCTTGGGTAAGGTCCTGGCTTAGCTCTGATCAATCACGTGATTCACTAACTTACTTACTTTTTGGTATTAGTTTCCTTATCTTTAAAATGGGATTAAAACCAATTGTGTACAGTGAATATGAGGGTTAAATAAAACATGGGTAATAAGAGAGCTGTATATTACACACTCAATAACTGTTCCTATTATTACTATTATACCTATATTTTCAATACATAATCATATATCCCCATACACATACTAAAATATCCACATAAAATTTTACCTTATATGTGCAATTTCTCACATTATTACACATGACTAAGTATTACATGTGGCATGCTGTTAGAAGCCCTTTTAACATAATAATGTGGTAATATAATCTGTTGGTAATCCTGTAAAGCAATTTAAAGATTTAGGTTTTAAGAAATGAAAACAATGAATATATAAAATGGAAGTGATTTCCAGATTAAGTTAGAGAATGAAAAAAAAAATCACCATACAACTTTGGTTGCCAAGTCATGCTTTAACTGGTTAAATGACAAAAATTCTTTCAAAATTCAGGGTACAGGAACAAAAAAACTTTGCCTACAGCTCCCCTAGTATTCATATAAGTCTCTTTCTTGAATTATCTGACTGAACATGTGGTAATTGTTGTTTTTTAATACGATTTCATAAGTTCAGTTTCTAATAATTATGCAACATGTTGTTTCTGGTAATAACCTTTTTGGTATTAATGTACTGCTATATAAAATAATGGAAAAGAAATTAGGCTGATTTTTTTTTACTCAGAATAGCGGAAGCATATTTGTGAGGTTCATTAGAATTTTGTGAGAATAATATAATATGCTAATAATTTTAAATATTTTGCTGCGAAGGGGTCCCAATTCAGAGAAAATATGTTTTAGAAATCAGTCTATCCCAGTACCCATGACAGTTTGCACAAGAGAAAAAAATCAGATTAAAGCCATTCCCTATATATATTACATACTTTATGCTAGCCCCAAAATGAAGGTGTTCTCCTTATGTAAAAAATCATTCTGCACCGGTTGTGGCAGCACATATCTGTAATTCCAGCACTCCAGAAGGCTGAGGTAGGAAGATTGCAAGTTTGAACTCTGCCTGGGCAAACGACTTAGTGAGACCTTGTCTTAAAATTAAAAAAAATTTTTTTTAAAAGGCCTGGAGATACAGCTCAATGTTAAGGCCCTATGTTCAATCCCCAGTACCATATAGATACATAAAAGATAATTTTTCCAGTACCTTACAGAAACATAAAAGATCATTTTGCAATTTATGGCCTTATAATTTATGTTTGGAGAATAGCTTTATCTTGATGTTCATCAGGAAGTCACAGAAATTTCAGAAATACATGAACTGAATTGTTACTTCTCTTCTTACAAGAAACATATACAATAACTATATGATCAATGGTACTTTGACTGTCAGATTAGTCCAGTGAAGTCTATTTTAGCCTATAGTCTTTTGCTCCTCTTGAAGCAGTTAAGTCAGAGATGCACAGAATTTTTATTGCTGGAAAGTTGCCTAGAAATTATGTGCTCCAGGGTTCACATAATCAAATGCTTAGGGCCCCTGGGAGAAATAGACATGGTTGAAGTGTCCCTGCCGGTGGATGGAGGGGTGGCCCTTTTCTCAGAGGCACACAGGGAATTTTCTTTGCAGTGTCAGCCAAATGTGGGAAGTATGCTGGGGTAGGCTGTACAGCTGATTTTTTAAGATAAGCAGAAACTTCTATGTGTTATGTGAAATATCTTACTTTGAAGATATCATTTGTTTATAACGCAAATGAGAAAGCAACACTGTGGAAGTAAAGAGAACTCTGCAGACCACATCAGAGTTGTTCTTTGGGTTGCTGATTTGTAGCTTAGGATCCTAGCCAACCACCTACTTTTATAACCAAGAAAACCAACTCCTAGCTGTAGCAAGATGCTATACACCCCATACTAATGTCTTTATATGACAGTGAATACGAAAACTAAACCTGAAGTCTTTAGCACTCTCTTCTTCCATTTCCACATTCAATGACACTCCCTGGCCTAGGTGCTAAATAAGGTGGGAAACACACAGAGATATGATGGGATGAAGTATTCACCACCCCGTCTTACTCTCAAGCTGCCCTCTCTGCATGTGCACGAGAAAAGCTTGGCTTAGAGTCTGAGAAAAGTCTTAGGAGGGAACCTGGACCTCACACCACCACCACCACCCCTTTCGGTATTCCTGTTAGGAATTTGTTTTTCTTTTCTCATTTTTCTATACAGTGAAAGACAGTTATATCTCTTAGAGCTATATTTCTCTAAAGTGATGATCTCACATGGGTGAATACCACATAGAATCTGTGATAGGTGGGTATTCCTGCATATTATTTTGACATTTACTCCACAAATATCATTCAATGTCCAAAGGTTATCAGTCATGAAAGAATGATGCTATTTCCTAGAACAGCATTGACTCCTTGGCTCTGGTTATATATCTAGTGAGAAAGTGAAATATTAAGGTATATGTAATAAGAGCTACAATATTTATGTTGGAAAGTTTCATTACTAATTAAGATGTTTCTAAGTGAACTTTGATGTGCCATGTATGAAATTATCTACACATTTATGTTACAAGGCCACATTTATTATTTTCATACCAGTATATTTTCATAATCCGTGCACCATAGGTTTGAGAATACACATGAAAACAAAGTTCATAAAAGAACATATCTACTATTGATGAGGCAGATACAGTGAAAGAATTACACAGGGTTAGCACTGGAGGTGCAGGGAGTGTTTCTGACTAATAGTAAACCTTGGCTAGCATATACATTGTTTGGAATTCCTGCTCTCCTAAAAATTCCTAAATAAGTAATTGGTTTTTCAGCTTTGGTGGAAGGAGGATTTTAGTTCTCATTAGGATATTTTAAATTCCATAGAAGGATGACACTTTGGTTCACTGCATAGTTCGCTGGAGAAAAACAGTCTGTGATTTTATACAGTACGTAGTACTTTGGACAGAACAAGCCTAGCAAAACACTAACTTCCTGATGAATTGGGTTACATGTGAGGAGATAACATTTCATGCTTTTTAGAGCTAGGTTGTTCAGGGGAGCCAGAAAACACAGATGGAAAATGATGTCTGATGATGCAAATTTTCTTGTAACTGACTCAGAAGGAGCCAAGCCACGCTGAGTGTTGTTGATGACAACTTTTCAGAGCAGTCTCAAGGATGCTGGTCTATGGCAGGTGCTGTCCATGCCCCAGGGGCAGGGAGGGTCCGAGTGAGGTGGGGATGGGGTTACGTAGTGGGTAACCTCCTATGAAAAGGAGGCTTGTATCTGAGCATTTTAGAATTAAGCAAATAAGAAGTAGAAGGCTGTTGGGGTCAAGCTCAGCATCCGAGAAAGAATATTGTGGGAGCAGCAGAACACGTATGACCTCAGCATCCCAAGTCGCACTCGAGTTCCATCTGCGATAGTGTAGTTTTCATGCCTAGAAGTTCTATTTCAGTCTTGTATATCTTCCCTGTTTCTACCTCCTATATTCCAATTTTCATCTAGATTCCTAAACATATGAAATACTGTTACAATAACCATTTGATGTCCTTGTTTAACAACTCTACTCTGTGTCACTATTGGGTCTGTTTCTTTTCTTTTTTTTTGTTTTTGTTTTTCTTCCGGTACTAGGAATCGAACTCACAACCTTGCGCTTACCAGGCAGGCGCTTTGCCGCTGAGCTAAATTCCCAGCTCCTTTTTTCATTTTTTAATGGCTAACACTTTCCTCCCTCTTTGCATGCTAGTTTTATAGTGAATGTTCAATGTTGTGAATTTTACTTTTTTGGGGCATTGGAAGTTTTTCTATAAAAATTCTCCGGGTTTGTTCTGGGAAGCAGTTGAGTTAAATGCAAAGTTTGATTCTTTTGAGTCTAGGTTTTATGTTTTGTTACTTGGGCTCAGAGCAGCATTTAGTCTAGAAATGATTTCTTTCTTTTTTTTTTTTTTCTGTTCTGAGGTGAAACCCTTCTGAATATGCTACCTGATGCCTTGGAATTACGACATTTTCCCTTCTGGCTGGTGTGAACAGAACTTGCTTTCTGGCTCGAGACAATCTTTGGGGCTTGTTATTTCTATTCCTTTTGGGCAGTTAGTTACTCACCCAGATGTATCAGAATATAAGGAGGTCACTTTCCTGATCTCCAGGCCTTTTCTTTAAGCAACTCTCCCCTCTCCAGCACTCTGTGCTGTGAATTCTAGTCTCCTTGGACTCCCAGCTCCATCTCCTCAATTTAGGGAGACGAGGAGCCCTTTCTAGCCTTGCCTTTCCTGTATATAGCTGAAAAGTCCTCCAGACAGAGAGCTGGGGCAATCTTAGGGCTCCTTTCTTGTGTCCTGTCTCTCAGGGATCACTGCCCTTTGTTATCTGATGTCTACTATCTTGAAACCACTGTATGTCCAGTACAGTACATCCAGATTTTTTTTTTTTTTTTTTGGTTTTTCTCCGGTACCGGGAACCGAACTCACGACCTTGTGCTTGTCAGGCAGACGCTTTGTCACTGAGCTAAATCCCCAGCCCCACATCCAGATTTTTAAAATGGTTTTGTACAGGAGGTAAGTTCAGTTTCTGTTACTCCATCGGGACTGGAAGCAGAAGTCCCTGGCTTTGAGTTTTGACCCTACATTTATCTACAATTTGATTTTGGGAGAACTACTAAGCCACTTCCTCTACTTTGCCCATTTATGATATGGGGATAATGCTACAATGAATGATCAAGGGAATCTTTTATTGGAAATCATGTTATAATCTATAAGATTAGGCAAAGGAATATCCATAGAGATGAATCAGCTTCTCAATAAAGGACCAAAACCAGATGTGGTGGTACACACCTGTAATACCAGCTACTTGGAAGGCTACCTGGAGGATGATCACAAGTACCAGCTGGGCAACTTGGCAAGATCCTGTCCAGGTTGGGGAGAGGGCTGAGGTTATAGGTCAGTGCTCCCTGAGTTCAGTCCCCAGTACTGCAAGAAAGAAAAAAAAAAAAAAAAAAAACCACACTTAATGAGCCTCTTCTCTCCTTGGGTGGAATAGCCTGAGCCTTTTTCTCTTGAGCAGCCATGCTAGTTAAATTCTTACCTATTAATGACCTTGCCCTTCCCCTTTGGATCTGCTGGTAAAAGGTCTACATGCCAAATAAATAACTTGCTTCTACCCAGAACCCATGAACAAAACCAAATTCGTGTGAAATATTTTGCCAAAGCTTCCTCAGCATAGGATTGTAGAAGCATCAACAGAATTTATGTAATTGTACAGTAATAAAAATCTCATTTTTCTCATTTATACCTTTATTTTAAATAATCATTTTCGGTAAACTGTGAAGCGGGAATAATACTTAAAACTACGCATTGAGTGCCAGGGATATAGCTCAGTGGCACAAGCGCTTGGCTAGCAAGCGCAAGGTCCTGAGTTAGATTTCTGGTGCCAAAAAACAAAACAAAACGAAACTATCTGCCCACAGTTATAAATATATGGAACTCGCTCAGCTTATAAGCCATACATTACCATTTGAAATGGAAAGATTTTTCGTTAAAGAAATATTCTTCTGACATTAAAATTCTAAGTTACTAATGTAGTAACATGAGTGAAAAAAATAATAAAATCCTATGACTTTTTTATTGCATGTTTATTTAGGCCAAACCAGTATGAGGTAGCTAGATTAATTACTTTTATACTGTTAAGTACTGTACATAATTAATTATTGCATCTAACTTGTGTCTGAGCCAAACCTGTAAATTACTATTCATGCAGGGGAGTGATGATAATTTATGTACTCCCTCCATGCTATAGCTTGTTAATATATTATTTTTGATTTGAAACTCGATGTTAAAAGTTTGTAAGAGGCTTTTAAAGACTACCCCATGACATAAGTTCTCAAATATGAATTTCAAAATTACGGCTGATGGCATGCTATGATAGGAATTTAGTTAGATGATGGAGTTATAATAGATTTGACCTGAAAATTGTTTTCTTATGTTTATTCTGATCTTTTGACCTTTATGGTTTTAGCTTGTGTTTTTTCAATTCTGCTTGATACCATGATGTGGATGTTCTTTCGGCCCTTAGTCATATTTCTGTACGTCCAATGACATGCACAAAACCTGGTATCATCCACCCTCCATACTGGTCTTTCATATATTTAACTGTGGCATAAAGTTGAGTGCTTAGAGACAGGCTCACAACCACCATGAACTCACCGAGCTAAGGGAATGTCAGTGAATCCATTTTTAAGACATCAGTCAGCTTGTGAAAACTTCAATAACAAGCTCCCTGAGATATTTGTACAGAGTCAAGTGAAAGAGTCCTTTCAATGTTTTATAAATTCAAAAGCTGAATTTCAAGACAAGTCATTACATTTAAAAAGACAAAAGAAGAAACCAGTAAAAATGAAAAAAATCTTTGACATGATAAAGCGCGATGTTCCGGAGCCTGCTTGCCCTGAATGAGCAGTGTTAGTGCGATCTGAGACCAAAGCAATCTCAGGCCTCACCTCAACTCTCCTGAGTCTGAATCTGTACTTTAAGAAGATTCCCCAGGTGAGCTGGGTGTCCATTCAAATCTAAAGCCCATTCGTCTGGGGGTGTAGTTAGTAGCCACTTACACTTGTACATGAATCTTGTAACCTGGAGAGCCTACAACTGGAACATGAACTCACATCGTGGGCGTGTGACTGCCCATGGAGAGAAGCTGATGCCAGAACAGGCACCTGAAGGTGTAGAGACCCAGTTTTTTTGGGAGGGGGTGATTTTAGAATATGGAGGAAGAAAAGCCCCAAATAAGGTGAATGACAATAAAATATATTTCACATAACATAATGTTTGTCAGCTCCATTCATATGGCATGGAAAAAAACACCACTGGGCCTTTAGTCAAAGGATCCTTGCTTGTTTCAGAGGAACTAGCGTCTGAAAGAACACAGCCTGCTCCGGCGATTCTCAGGGCACGCTGTAGCTTCTCTTTGCTTCTACGGAATATGTGAATTTTGACACACAGGAGATTTTCACGAACTGCTCTGTTTAAAATGCAGGCCCCTCCTGCATCAGTGCCTTTCTCACTGAGGTTTTCCAACTGTTCAGCCACTAGAGGTCTGTATTACCTATTTTTATAATCTTAGCTCACTGGTTGAGACTTTCACCTCTGAAATTAAGGCGTAATACGAGGAAATAAAAATCACAACACTTTAAGAAACGAAGAAAACCTAAGAGGAAACTGTTCATTTGGAAAGAGACTAACACTCCCCTGCTCTTTGGAGGAGGCAGCTGAGCACACGTTCACTCTCCTGAACATAGAAAGCAGGGACCGCTCACAAATCGGGGGACAAAACTTACTGTCTGCAAAGTTCCTACGCAAAATAATCTGCCCATATATTTAAGCTCTCTGTTTCAACTTTAAATTTTAAAGCGTTTATTTTCCTATTGAAAAGAAAGAAAAAAAAATGGAAGGAACTGAATTAATTCTCAGTTCACTTAAAAGAGCAATTTTATCACTTTCAGGAGGGGGTTTCAGCAGTCCCTTCTTTTATTGGTCATACTATATTAGTTTAAAAATTAATGTCCTCTCAGGCTTACTTTGCAAGGCTCTGCTAACATTTTGTAAACTAATGCACGAATCTGGGCTTGCCTGGTTAAATTTTCATAGAGTCACGGTACTTCCTGGTGGTACCTTCTATACATTGGGTCCCCCAGTTTTGCACTGTACCCCTTGATCAAGAGTAGTCCTTTGGGGTTTGCCCTCCGCTAGCAGCAGCCCAGGCACTGAGTCTCCCAGAAGCCTGGGAATCAGGCTTTTCATTGATAGGAGCACCTTATTAGAAATGATAAAAGTCTTTCCGTAGCACACGGAGCAGACCTCCTAAAGTATCACACATTCATATATTCACGTATTTAAATGAAATGGTAGAAAATATTGCAGACATAAAAGCTATAATTTACTGAGTACTGCACCGGGGGTTCAGATTCTGATGCTAGATTTCATAGATTCTAATTACACCTGCATTTGGAGTAAGTGGCTACATTTGTTGCCAGGCAAGGTGTAATGATAAGAGGCTCCCCTCTTTTAAAAGGCATTATTACATAATGTTCCTGGCCTGTGACGCCTCCGCAAGCATAAGCGGGTCTAGTGTGCTTTCTTCTCAGTCTGTCACTTTATTAAAACACAACAATTTGCAAGTGTTATTTGGCAGATCAGCTGGGTTCATTTCAAAGGCTAATATTTAACAGAGGGGAAAATAACCCATCCCAATCCTTTTAAACTATCTTTCTGTATATTTGCAGGCAAATTGCCTAGTGTTTTATAGAGATCTTGAGCTGGGACTTAGGAATAATTTTAGTAATGCCTTGCATTGCTTGTCTACATAATCCAAATTATCAATTCGACAGCAAAGGGACGCTAATCCACAGTGCCATAATTTGTACCGCAGACCACAGTATTTAAAGTAGTTAAGTTTTCTTCATTTCTTGTTATATTTCTGCCTATGGCTGGTGACATGTGAATTAGCAATTTTCCTCACTGAACTACGACAGGGAACTATCTGCTTTACTCTGTCTGGAACATCCCTTTCAGAACTCCTGACTTTTCTATTATTTAAATGATGTAGCTTACACTTGCACACGATATTGGAAGAAAACCTGTAATTAAATACTAGTGTAGTGTTCACTTATATGAAAAAATGCTGCTGTGATAGCAGTTAAATAATAGCAGCAAGGTCTTTGGCACTGAGGAATTTGGTGGGCTACCACTGGGAAAGAAATAGTTGGAAGCCAGGAGTTGAAGTCAGTCCCAAATTCCAGTCTTGACCCTGGCTCTAATTAGCAATGTGGGTAACTTGGGTTCAGTTTCTATGAGAACAGTACAGGCAATAAGAGAGCTCAGTATATATGTTTGTTTTCTGCTTTTCAACACACTGATTCAATAGTGCCTGACACCAGAAAGTGTCCAATTAATACTATTTTTTTCCTGTTCTTTCTTGTCTTCATTTATAAGGTATTGGATACTATAGTGATATTAATCTTGCTTATGTCCAAGTGTGTGAGACACAAATATGTTTATGTGTGTGAGATAGTGCTCACGAACTGGTCTTCAGAAATTTTCACTCTGAACACTAGATCACAAATTGGGGAAGTTTCAAAGGTGATTCATTCTTCAACTGGAGATTTTTATGCCTTTTTTTTTAAATAAAAGACTATGCCATTTGGGCTACATTTCATTTATTTCTTTTTCTGATTGGGATGATGACTTACATTTATGACTCTTTGAGGATGACTATTGAATTGAGAAGGAGTGAACTGAGAAAGAGAAATCATTTTTCAAGTCAGTTAAAACTTGAAGCTAAGAATCTGTTCAGATTCAGGAAATTTAAAAAAAAAACATGATCTTGCTTAAAATGCTACCTTCAACCCTTTCATTATCTTAAACTTCCAGTTTAGAGAAGTTTCTTTTCTCTAAAATGCTGCATTAGTATTTTCTTCACCAGAAAAATCTGTGGGAGAGGAATTTGAAGGAAGTTGTGACTAACTAGCTTTTTTATTAGGGATGGAATACTGATTAAATTGCAGGCATTCTTTTAACTCATCTCTTCTTCCAGTACTATTGGGATTGAAAATTATAATTGTCATATTTTGCCCTGAGTACTGAGGAGAAGAGTGACCAGATACTGACAATGGACTGGAAAGGTTTTATTCTGAGGCAAGGGACTAGACTTTGCAGTTTGCCCTTTATGTGGCAATTTCCAAGAAAACACTGGCGTTACAAAAGAGGTATGTACGTGTCTCCTGAAATCAGAGGCACTCACTCACCCATATAGAAGTTCAGGTCAGTGTAAATGTTTTCATGTTTTGTGTGAGAAAAAGAAAACTTCTTGTTTAAGGTTATGTATTGTGTATTCTCAGAATGTTTTAGTTCCTTGTAGGGCTGCTTTTATTTGCTTTTAATAATACAAGTAGTACTGGGAAAGACATTCCTGAATA